TCGTTATCCAACGATTTCTTTATCATACGAACAAATCATCCAGTGTTCCTTGCATTCGCCTAACATGTTGTTGTTCAATCGCTCAACATTTTCATAGAGCAACGCAATAGGCGTCAATAACCTCTCATAATGCATTGCGCATACAAACGCCACATGTTATTGTGCGTAGTATCATATACGCTCAATGCTAACAACTGCGTTCGTTGTGAACACGAAAAACATCCGTGAGTTTCCGCATTTCCAGGAATGCAGTGCTTGTCAATACTATCACACGCAGTGTTGATCGGTTCATTGGTGCAGTTTAATAGTTTGAAGAATTCAGAAAATTTATCGTAACACGCTTGAACAAGACTTTTGCGCTAGTGAATTGTCGAGCACGATTGGTTACTACTGCACAGATTGAGCAGGTGAATGTAATTGCTTTCAGAAAGATTCAATCGAAAGCACGATGTCTTCAGATGATCGAAACTCATCCGTATCATTAACAATTCCTCTTGTCGGCGTTCTGGCATCGGTAACCCTCATACTGATTAGGTGATCTATTTTTTCGCGTGCTTTCTCATCTCTAAATTGTATTATTGTTTTTTTTTTCATTAGGAAATTCAAATTCACAATCACCGATGAAATGGTTTTGAGCGACAATCGGTCTAGAAATGATAATATTTGTAACATTTGTGGGAGTTTTTACAGAATCATTGGATAGTTTGTGATCCATAAAACGGTATTTCTTAGTTCACGGTCAGTTTTCTCAGAGTGTTCAGAAATACGACGACCATAATGCAGAGATTTTGATAGGGAAGGTTGTTCGGATGGAATATCATGGAAATGCATGTGTTGATCGAATCGATTCGAATCATTCGGTTGGGTGAACATTCTGAATTAGGTTCGAGATGGGCAGAAACTGAACAAGCGAATAGCAATGTTTTTTTGCAATGTTGAAATGCTTGATTGCTGAATGTATTGTTCAAGTTGACTTATCATGACGAGGTTGAATCGTCAAGCACTCTCTTCGTCCAAGTGCCGATCACCGTTTCCAAGCACATGCTCAGCAGCAGGCATTTGACAGCAATCGAAGCGATCATGTTCATTTATTGCTCAACGATTTTCACTTTCAGAAAATACTTCAAAGGTGCACAATTCAAAGAGAACATTTCGGCAAAAGGCAAAATTGTGTTCGTGACTGGTGCNAATAATGGTATTGGTAAGCAGACGGCAAGGGAGTTGAACTTAAGAGGTGCCAAAGTGTATATGCTATGCAGAAACGAAGATCGTGCTCGAAGCGCTCGTATCGATTTAGTCAAGGTCATTTCGTTTCCGATCAGCCACTTATTCTAGTTCCGTGATCCCGAAAGCACTTCCGTGGTTTATCGATAAGCTCAGCTCTTTCCGATCTCTACTGAACCGAACGAGTCAAGAAACGGATGCAAATTGAACCTCGGAAGCAAAAGATAATTCCGCAAATGATTTTCAGCTGGGTTGTGAGCCAACACGTTTGATTATCAAGCAAGTCGATTTAGCTAATTTCTCAAGTATTCGCCAATTTGCGGCTGATATTAAAAACGGTCATTATCTTCACAGTTAAACCACGCTTTCCATATAATTCTTCCACTTCTCATTGCAATGATTCACGTAATTATTGGTGAACAAATTTTCATTGAACAATAATTGAACAAACATTTGATCAGTAACGGAAAAATTTTTGACGGAGTTTCATCATGGCATTGAAATCCGACCACCATTTCAGCAGTATCTGACGAAGCTTTCACAGCTCGTTTTGAAAAAAAAAACAGCTTTCCTTTCCAAGAAAGATATCAAAATGAATGTGGAAATAAAAACCATTCAAATCAGCGATAAATGAATTCAGCTTGAAACTAAACAAGAATAACGTCTTGAATTAAAATGCTACCGAAACACCCGTCAGTGGCATCAGTTTCAAAACGATGAAATCGTTCTCCACCCTTCTTTTGTCTGCACAAAATTTTATGTTGTTGAATCTTCTGATGAGAAGATTTGAACAGTGAGCAGTCGGTGATTGTTTTAATTTAAGAAGTTGACAAGGTGGATGTTCTAATCAACAATGCAGGTATTATGTTCTATCCACGATTCGAGAAGACTGTTGATGGTTTCGAGACCACTTGGCAGACAAATTATCTTGGTAGTTTGTTGATTCATTCAGTCAACGCTTAGAAGCACTCACTGTGAAAATACGCCTCTTTGTAACTACTATTGTGAATACCATTTCTGCCAAAGCTCCATTGTTCAGTCAATTGAATCGCTCAGTTTAGAAAACGTCAAACGTCCGCTTGAACCTGACAATGAGTTCATCGTCTTATCAGAGCTATTTTCGTTTTGAGAAGAATTTCATGCACTCCACCACTTTAACGATTAGTTCTGCAGCACTCACAAATCGTATGCAGTTTTGCCGTCCAAATATACCGTTGAGTCTTATTTTTCCAAGCAAACCGACACTCCAGTGTCATCTTCTTCAGTTGACAATCCTTTCTATTCTCTCAATTTTTTGTGGTATCCAGCGTATTTTCAGGGCATTTTCTGCTCACCGAATTGATGTTACCAATATTAAGAAAGTCACCAGGTGCTCGCGTCATCAACGTTTCGAGTGCACTTCACAAGAGTGCCGATAGTGTTGAATTTTCGGTAGTCAACGACAAGAAGAATTTCAACCGTTCACTTCCATACAATCGTTCGAAACTTGCTCAAGTTTGTTTCCCGCTGATTCGTTACGATTCGTAAACATTCACCATAATTTCAACTGAACATGATAGTTGAGCAGTTGTTTAATGCAATTCAATTTAACGACGAACCTTATTCCAATTTGAATTGTTCGAATCGAAATCATTACTGAGGAACGTGCAAAGGATGGGTTCGGTATTTGGTTGCAGATGTCTTGAAATTAACAAGAAACCGCACTTTTCGAACGTCTAGTATCTAGTGATCTTAAGTTATTGATAATTTGCATTCATTTAAAGACCTCGTATTACGTTTCTCAGTACTTATATTTTAATTTGATACATTTGTTATTGTTTCTCCAACTGTAAATACTACGTCAACTAATATGCACTTTTTCAGTTGTTTGTTTTCGCTTGGTTTGTTGATCACCTGAACTAATTGTTGTAATCAGTCTTGAAACAGACTTCAACGATGCTGTATCGGAATGAACAATGTTTAATTTGAGGTAATGCATGCACGAGAGCTGACGCGTCGTTTACGTACAATGGATCCAACGTGCACCGTCACAATCAATTCACTACATCCTGGCGTGTGTTATACGGATTTGGGTCGTTTCACATACCTCAACAAAACACCTCTCAAGCAAATTTTCGCTCCTCTTTTGTGGCTCATCATGAAAACCGATAAGGTCAGACTGTTGGCCGACATGTTCTCTCCCTTCACCTTGCAACGACTGTTCGACGAAAATTCGTCAGTTTGGTTGAACTGGAATGCTTGTGATTCCTTTCGAAACAAGTTGTTTTTTGTTTACAGGATGGCGCACAAACGTCACTTTTTCTTGCGTTGAGCAAACAAGTTGACGGTATATCCGGGAAATACTTCGGGTATCTTACTCCTTTTGAATAAAATCATAACTAATTGTCTGTATGTTCTTGTTCAATGTTAAGGGTAATTAATGAAACGTTCTTTCTAGCTTCACTAACCCTCACTTATCGAGTTAGCAATGTTAATTAGAATATCTCTTAGGTTGAATCACTTCATTACACTCTTGCACATCTAAACCATTAAGAACAACGTTGAACTTATCGAGTAAAGTGAACATCGATTGCAAGATGTTGTATCTGATCCTTTGCAAATTTCATATTTGCAATTATTTAAAGATATTTTTTACAGAGAATGTAAAGAGCATGAACCGTCACCAAAAGCTCTCGACAACGACGCTTCTAATGTGTTATACAATGACAGTCTTGAAGCAGTTGGGCTAGGCAAGTAACTGTGTCGGATGCACCGGTGTATGGTCTGTTTGAACGATGGCCCAGTTGAAACTCTGTATTTTTAGTCCTCATGACGATTTTAAATTGTTTTTTTTTGGTTCTGATGATTGATTGAACTTTCGTAGAAGGCTGTGTGTATTGTTTGAAAATTCTTCCAAGTGACTGAATAGCTAATAAACGTGTATTGCAATATGATGAAAATAAGCAATATGTGCAGAACAATATTCAAGTTGCAATATCAAATGATAACCGTCTGAAACTAATTGCGACCACATCAGTAGGAACAATTTCATTCCATTATCTGGATTTTCGATATAGAACTGATTTGTTGTTTTGTCTTGCTAGTAAATTGACAGAATATGATGAGCATATCTTTTACATCACACGTGAGCATATAACTAAATAAATCAATTCAAAGATGTGAATCAACACAAAAACTTCATTCAGAATGATTAATAATTCGCACTGAAGTTCGTAAAATCATTTGAACACGCTCATCTCTTCTAAACAACGAAAGACGTTGAATTATTCAGACTGTGTCTTCGCATAACGATCGACATCAAAAACATAAATTCCAAATAAAGTCGCCTAATAAAACATTCGTACGATTCAGATGTGAATATATACGGTCCATACGTTTATTATGTAATGTTTCGAAAACACGACCAAACCTATATATAGAGAACTTCTACATCTTATGAATAACAACCTTACTAAAAGCTATCAATGTCCACTGGCTTCGGGTTCTCCAGCTTTCTTGAGTGGATTATATTTTCTGAAATATTCGGCGTCTTGTCGCTTTTGCCTAATGCCATACCAGTGCTCTACCTCATGATGGTGCAAGTTGTCGTACATCTGATGATGAAGAATCTTGTGTCTTGGTTTCACTGAAACACAGTTTGTTATTCCCCTGACGAAATTAGCAGCCAAACTTAGCACATAAACTTCCATGATTGTTACGAATGAAGAACACTTCAAAGTAAGTGAAAACATAGAAACGAACTTTCCTCATATGAATGGAAATTTTCTAGGAAAACAAAATCAGCTTGTAAGAGGAGGTTACCTGGAAGGACGAACTTGTAGAATCCGTAAACCATGAGACCAGAATAAATGTAGTACCGAAAGACGGGCAGATATTTCCAGCAATGTCTCCAGGACCACATACGGAACTGTAACCATTCCTCGCATTACTGCTCGAGATTAAAACCATGCATTTGACTCGTTCATTAAGAAATACAACACTAGATACTTCCACGTAAAATATGTTTTCATGGGGAATATTTCTCAAGCATGCAAATACGAATGAACAAATATTTAAGATCTAAAGTGATGAACTACACGAACTGCTGGCATCTAAAAATCTAAGAAATGACAACAATACTGTGGACGTGACATTTGCTTACCCATTCTTGAGCAGTCCATGGCCTAGCAGGCATGAACGGATCGAGTTTTGCAGCAGGTATGGGAGCGTTGGGACTGAAAAGCACAACGACGGCACCCTTCACCGTTTCGGCAGTATATTTTGCCGCATCGATCAGCTTCGAGCCCATTCTGACGGAGAAGGTTCAACTGCAAACAATCGCAGAAAGGTTCAACTGAAAACAATTGATGATATACGCAAAAATCTTGAAGAAACTCCATCGATTATGTAAAAGAAGATGAGAGCGAATACGCGAAACCAAGAACTGAAGAAATCTGAAACAAAAAATAAATCAAACCGCAAAATCTACACTACCCAACCGAACCTCCAATGCGGATTTCTGATAAGTAAACCTCGAACAAAATTCGCTGTGTGGATGGTAAGCTGACAGTTCGCCAAATATGAATGGAATGAATGTTCGCCAAGTGATGAACTCACATTTCTATTTGATAGGTGTTAAGAAATGTTAATTTCTTACCCATATAACGGGTATGAAACGTGGGCAACGACAAAAACAGAAGAACAACGACTTATAACAACACAGAGGGCAATGGAGAGATGTATGTTAGGAATATCGTTGCGTGAGCACATCCGATGCGAGGAGATACGCCGGAGAACTGGGATAAGCGACGTAATCACAGAGTACAGGAAACAGAAGCTACGATGGGCAGGCCACGTAGCTCGAATGAATGACAGCAGGTGGACCCGAGCAATTCTAGAATGGTACCCCCGAGAACAAAAACGACCGCTCGGAAGACCTCCAAAAAGGTGGCGAGACGAGATCGACAAGGCGATTGGTAAGACCTGGCAAAGGAAAGCAAGGTCGAGGACTGATTGGAAACGCATTGTGGCCAGCAACGTCAACAACGTTCGATAGCCTGGCCGATTCCAGTATTCCAGTATTCCAGTATAACGGGTATGAATGCAGCAGATTCAAGCATCACTTTGTAGCGCAGATCCAGGAGTACAGAATCTGATTTATAAGTTGAACACTAATAAAGACATGCTTGAGATTTTCTATTTGCTTTAAAGTACAAAAAGTTCAAGAAATAATTGAAATTGCTACCCACCCGACCAAGAGATATATCATCCTGTTGGCGAGACCGAGTACCCTAGGAAACTACAATGCACTTTGAAGCTAATTGTTAAGTTACGAGAGTTATACCACTTGGCGTGATCAGCAGATATGTTCAATTGTCACAATTGGCATAAATACTGGAGTGATTGAAATTCTTTTTGGTCTGAGAGAAAAAATTGGTAAGAAAGATGCATATCACCCAGAGGCTCTTGTACACCTTAACCAAAGTAGATGCAGTGTAATGAAATGAGCGGATCAACTATATGAATTACCTTCAGATAATTGTCACTATTACTCGAAGTAAACAAACAATGGAATATAGATTTGTTCTGAATATGATTGAAGCATTTGAATGTATTGGAATAAAAATTTAAGCAGTCAAATAATTTGACGCGTTGATTAATCTCTTAACTCACTTTCCATTCATAACAATGGTCTACCCAATCAGCAAGACATTTCAAAATTTATTTTTCGACCTAGTGCACAAATCTTTTGGAACATTTGCTGCAATGTTCGGAAAGAATTCTAACAAAATTTCCAATGTTACCAACGGATCGGTTCGAAAATATTTTCCAAAACTGACGGAACCTTGTCAAAACCTCATCAAATGGATATACACATACAACAACACTCTCGCATGTGTGTACGCATATAATTAAATCTGAGGGTGGTATAGATGTGCATGTTGCATATATTTTGAGTGGCACTGTTTATCAGTTGAGAAACAATACACCTGAATACCAAGCGCATTTAGGAAAAATGGGAAACATCCCTATGTTGCTCCCGCACATTGCTAGTTATACCGGTAATCAACTGAAGACGAACAAATTGCTCATTGTCAGCAAAAAGGGTCACTTTTTCCGAAAATTTTCATTTGCTGCATTCATCGGCCTACAAGGCACACTTGAAAGACTTTAATTTTCTCAAAAATCGACGGTGCGTCTTACAACCCGGAGCGCCTTATGAATGGATTAATTCTGGTCACTGACCTCGAGGCAGCATTGCATGGCACGCGGCGCTGCGTTAAGGTTTATAAGTGCATTGTTGATGGATGTATTGCTTTATAGTCGGGTACAACTATGGTTTGGAGGTCTGGATCCAATCATTGAAATGTGCATCTGCTTAACAAAGTTATCGCGAGAACTAATCAGCAAAATTTCAATTGATTTCTCGTAAGGTCAGTTCTGGAATTTCATTATTTGTCATGTGGTGAGAGTAATTCTGCTCGACAAGTAATTCTGTTTCCGAAGTCGTATGGACGACCAAGTCGGTTTGCTGATTGATTCCACTAATCCGTTGTATTCAGTTCAGCATCCTTTCTTGAACGCATGCTCTTCACTCGCTGTAGCTTTAATATATTTCAAATAAGAGCAAAGTCCTGCTTTCGCCAACAATTCGAAATTTAGCAATCTTAATCTTTTTGGAATGTGAACAACTTTTCAGTTGGAAAGAAGGAGAAGCAACATTTGAGGAAAGAATCTTTTAGTTGGAAGCTACAGCGTATTCCAACAAATACATTCAACAAATCATCATATCATCAGGATGAAAGGCAAGATATTATGATTATGAAGATCGCCGTTTGAAAATGTTGACGATGTTGACAAAAGTTATCGATATGATTTGCCGCTCTGAACTCGCAATTTTGATTTCTCTGGCCGAATTTCACGAAGTTTCTCGAGATTTTGACTTCGAAGTGAAAGTTTATTTTGGAAACGAAATAATCCGACACATCTGGAGGCTCCGAAAACCATATGACAAATTTTGTTGGTATTTTTGAGATTGAAACAATTGGAAATTCCTGATTCGGCTTCACAGCAGCATCACTGCCTAGTGGCACGAATGCATATTGCTGCCGGCTAGGAAGAACACATTGTAGTTCAAGTCAGTATCATTTCTCGTGATTTCAAAAATCAATGCTGGCTGGTGATATCACTGCTTACTAATCAGCGGAGCGGGCTTTTTCTGAGCAAT